TATATGATTGCCGAGATATGAGCAACACAAAGTTGTCAATATGAGAGATGTCGCATTTTTCAAAAGTTGGTCGAAATTTTAAAATGCTCATTTCTCAGCAACCTAGCAATATTTTTTCAAACGGAAAACGCCATTTTACTCAGAAATGTCTATATTTTCTTTTATGAGTGGTTTCAACAACTTCTGTGAGATACGTTTGAGCAGTGTTCTATGTAACGTAGTCGTCGCTTATGTGAAATGGCTCTTACGTAAAACGTGGTTTGGGAGTTGTTTTGAGAAACAGGCCCCAGTTGTCTGTTCTCACCGCACATATCTCATGTTAGCCTCTGCGTTTAAGATCACTGAAAAATTGCAGAGTTTAACTCGCATAGCGAAAGTTTTTTTGGTCTTTTTTTCAGATAAATAAGGGCTTTCTGTCAATGCAGCCAAGTTTTATCCAAATAACATAGTGCTAAATTCAAAATTCTACGTAAAAGCGGGTAAGGCTCAGCCTAACAGAGCCAAATCCGGGTAAGGCTTAAGCCTTACTCAGCCTAGTGGTTCCGCCGCCTCTGTGGATGGATATAAATAGACGATCAAAAACTAGTAACTCACTTGTTGACCGTTGCATACAATAGAAAGAATGTAAATATTTATGTTATTTAGCTTACTTAGGTATCTAATACAAGCTAGGGCAGAGGTCAGGGACCAGTTTCTTAAAAAAACTTAAGTCAGGTAGAGGTCATGCAGTAAAAACCATTTTACGCGTACGTATTTTAGACAACTTAGATTATTTTAGAGCAATTTTCTGAACAAAATCTCTAAAAAATTATGTTCAGTCTAATTATGGTGGGTTGGACGGGTTACTGACTTCAAATAGAGAAGTTACAAAATTTAAACAATTTTCTACTTAAAAGTTTAAGTGAAATCGAGAGTTGACTTAAGTTAAGTAATGTCTGGAAACACACTTAGCTAAAAAATTTGGCTTAAGACGAATTTTTCACTTAAGTTTCTCTTAAATGTTTTTAAGAAACTGGCCCCAGAACTCCCGAAGCGGTTAGAATTGACGAGACGGTGTACGCCGTTTAGGAGACATCCCACTTCCGCAACGGTTCGACTAACCTCCACGAGTTAACTTAAGTATATTTAACGCTTTCTTTCCTGATCGTATCCATAGACACCATTTTTTAAAAGTTTAGTTCTCTTGAACTAAACTTACCTGTATAAAACATGTTATATCAACGTTTGTTGTAGTGCCGGGGCCTGTTTCTCAAAAAAACTTAAATTTTACTTAAGTGAGTTTCTTAAAAACACTTAAGTATACTTTCCTGTTTACTTAAGTGAAATTATTCACTTAAGTAAAACTTATAAGTTGTTTTGAGAAACAGGCCCCCGTTCTGTGGAGTATATGTTCTCTTCTTTTCTCCTTCTATTCTGCGCTCACGCGCTGATAAACGCGTATGCTATATTGGAACTTGACAGACTTGATCCAAACTTTGTCTGTGCATGTATATTAGAAGTCATTAGGTTGACGTTCTTGAGTCACTTTTGATTCTGGACTTTCAGATTAGCCGTGGGAAAGACAGGATTAAGTTAACTTAAGAGTTCATGGTCAAAGCTCAAACTCTCCAGTCTGATCGCCCTGGAATCGGGTTCCCCCATTGCATCTGTGTCCAAAGGTACCGAGACAATGAGCATTAGATAGCTTGTCCAAGATTATCACGCGACCGCCGCTGTCGGGAGTCGAACTTTGTATGTTTGAAGTGCGTTGTCTGTCCATTAACAAACTGAGTCGGCTACTGAAAGATTGATTATTTCAATAGTAGATTCATGATAATAAGTGCCTTTGACTTCAAAAACATTCATAACGGTATTGTGACCGTTACAGGAGGACCAAGTGCCTTTGAGGGGTATCGTCACCGAAATCGTAGAGAACGTAAGCAAAATGTTCAGCTACGATCGAGAACGAAAATTGTAAGAATTGGGGAGCACACATCATTGCCGGCTAGGACGCATCTGAGCTAGGGAATCTGCAATCCCTGAGTTCTGGCTCCTAATGGACTTTGTGCGCATACACCGGTAAAAATGTCATCTTTATTTTAATACACAAAAAATTTTGTACAACAGCTTTAATTTATTTTTTATACTAGGTAAAAGTGTCCTGGCCATCAAACGCCGTAGAATTTGTTGTTTGTTTATTTAGTTCCCGAAAACGTTCCGGATTGTGAAATTTTGTTTGATAATATTCATCTTCAAACTTGACCAAATCAATACACAAACGATCCCTTAACGTCACCAACTTTGTATCGAGATCGGACTGTTGATTTTTAAAACGTTGTCGAGCAACATGAATAGCATCGTTAATTGCTTTAAAATCATATAATACGGCTTGATCTTTTAGGTCAGATACAAATTTTAATAATGATTCAAACGCACGAACCTTTGAATGAGAAAAAATAGATTAAAATACAATAGAATACTTTTAGTCTATATAACCTACCATATTTGCTGCACGAACACGCATTGAAAAATCATCCGTTGTATTTGTTAATACACGAGGTAATTGATCTTTGACCTGATTTGGTTGTATTTCATCTACCTAAAATGTTTGAAGATATGTTACATGTTTGATTAATGAGCAAGTGAAAAATTCAAGAAAGTACCTTAGCAAGTTGAATAATAGCAATAAAATTATCCAATATAGATTGCAGGTCATCTTTGGCTCGTTTATTAAATGTATTGTTACGCATTCCTGCGTTGCCAGCTGGAGTTTTTCTAGTAGCATCCATCTAAAATATAACGTATAGAAGTTGATAGAATCGTTACCTACAACCTATATCAAAATCATCGAGCTGATTGCAAAATCAATGAACAAGACAATGACACAGTTTGAATATATATAAAAATGAGAGAGAGTAAAACAAAATCTCCAGACTGGTTTATAAATAGAGAAGAGAGAAGACCGGTAGTATCCGTCCGCCTGAGGTCAAAATAAGCTTTCATTAAAGAAATGTTAATGAAAGCTTATCTTGACCTAAAATGTATGCATGAATATACATGCGTTTACATAAAAGAAAAATATATGTCTGAAATAACAGAGAGAGAAAACATCATGTTACATCATATATATAACACCTTATGGACTAGCACATGGTCCAACTAGTACTAGGACTTAACAATCAGAAAAGTTAGATTCTCAACTTTGCTGTGTTTCAATCAATGAACGCATGCAACCTTTTCTTCATCTTACTTCGAAGCGTGCTTCCTATCCGCAAACAGGTGTTCACATACAACAGAAACTTTCGAGACATCAGATTAATATTTTCCATGTTGATAAAAATCTACTGATCATGCTACTGCCTTTTAATTTGAAAACTTTTATTTTAATTTTACGGATATTATGGGTAACTTATAGCTTCTAAGTTTCATTTGCACCAGATTGATTTGACGTTACACACAAATAAAGAAAACAAAAACAACAACAATAAATGATTGCAAAAAAAATAAAAGAAGACATAGATGTAGACCGGGTAAAACTAATTAGAAACTTCAGGAATTGTGTTTAAAATAAGAACAACAATAACTGTAAAAAAATAGCGAACAAGTTAGATCACACTATCTCATATATAAAATTTGGTCATATTTTAATAAAAAATAAAGACTTTAAACAAACTGTTCATAATATACACTCGCATGCGTAGCACTGAATCAGAAAGGTAATTGAAGTAGGGGATTAGATGTTGATTGCGAAATAAAATTACTTAAACACAAAACAAAGGTTATTGACAAAAAAAAAACATTATTTGTGAACCAATCTGATACATTGACTAGGGAATATATTTAAAGATTAAATAATTTTAAAATAATTGTTTTTCTTGATGACGGTTATCAAGACCGGATATATCGTCCAACACTGTTTCAACTTCCATATCGCTCATGTGAATATCTTCTGTTATATTCTTATGTGTATAAGGAGAGAATGAAAGCGGTGCACGTTGATGATCATGAACAGTTGACTGTTTACCAGCATGACTAGAATTATGAGCTTGTTTTGGTGTTGTCAAATCTACAAAAATGATTAAATTATTATATGTATGTACAACAATATTTCTCCAATAAATAGACTCTTTTGATCGAAATATATCTCTGACAGCTACCCGTAGACAAGAAAAAAAATGGGAAACTCCAGTTTTTGATAGAAAAATCAACATTTTAAGAAGTACGCACCTTACTCTACTCCTTCATCAAAGGATAACGTGACGGAAAGCTAAGCACGACAACATCGAGAGAAGTGAGAAAAGTACAGTTGCACTTTCTGTGCACGCGAAAGTAACCTGAATAAAAGATTAATAGCTTGTTTTTTATAAGCGTTATCTAACTCATTGATATGTTGAAAGTAAACGATGATTGTAAAACTTACGATGATCTGGTAGGCTTTCCATATCACCTTTGATTTTGCGCTAATGGAAAACAAATCATAAAAAAAGTTCAATTGTTAGTATATTAAACTTACATCTCGTCTGTCTTTATACGCAATTCCAAGCAAACGTAGTTCTTCGCATAACGCCTCATAGCGATAGGCAATACGTATACTTGGTACATTTGTTCGCCGAATATCGTTGCCTGCGATACCGGGTAGCATATAATTCAATCCTAACCAATATTGTTTAACCTTTAATAGAGAGATAAATAATAATTATTTTTTATTCAAAATTGGTTTTTGGTGACCTCTTGTTTATTATTACCTCATCCGAAAATCCACTCATTAACACTGAGTTCCTAGCCAATTCACACATGTCAACTGATGATAATTTCCATACTTGTGCTGCGATGCTGTATTCTTCCATCAATGGTTCCTATCAACATATGTAAAATTTATTATTCATTTTTTTACTCTACATAATGAATACAGTACTTACTTTTGTGAAATGGAATTGCATTGGATCATCCGTTGATAGAGACACACAAAGACCACGTTCAAAATATTCTAACATTGGATTACGATTATAATTAATAAATAATGAATTATTACTCAATGGTGACATTGCAATACCAATCTGACATAGATAAAATAAATATTGCAATACAGGTGACTAAAATAAAACAAAATATCAATATATTCACGAACAATTGACGATCAACAACGTTCAGTATATCTACAAATATCGTTTAATACAACAATAATACAATAGTAAAAAATTTCATAATTTCATTGAAGAAAATGATGTCATACCTTTCGAAGAAGTAATCCATGTGAAATATTTTCTGCACACATATAAGCAGCAACAAGATGAGTCACTGCACCAGCTTCACCACAATGTGGTCGAAATTGAATTGTATTTAATCCACGTGATCTATTAATATACAATATTGTTCAAAAACTCATTGCCATGAAATAGAGGATAACAGCTTACCTTCTCAATTGATTTAATGTAAGAATATTCGCATACATATAGAAAATGTAGTAGACATAAGGTGGATTATCTTTTTGTGACCATGCTTCTGGATACGGCATATCTGAGGTAAGAATAGGTCTAAATAAGAAATACAAACAATAATATTTAAATCTAAAACAATTTTTGACTACAATGTACCGTTCTGGTTTTGTTTCGTCATCGACTGAATCTAATCCAGATAACTAAAGGAAAATAAACAATATTTTTTCATTATTTTAATCAAAACATAAAGAGAACTTGCATGATGCATAAATTTAAATAAATCCGGATGAGCGCCTGGATTAATTGTGGCAGCAAACAATGGTTCAAATAGATTTGATAAAAATTCTTGAAAATTTTTTGTTATACCATTTGCATGGTATACATCACTAGAGAAACATCCACAGAATCATTAGAGTATAATTATATATTTTTTAGCACATTAACTCACTATAACCGTGGAATTTGCACCATCCAACCAACATTTGCTGAATACATTGTATTTTTAATAACCCATTTTGCTAATTTATCCCATTCATCCATACTTTTACCATAAATAGATAAACGTAATTCGGCATGTTGATATTTACTATCTTCTAAATCACTTATAACTTCCTACAATCATAAAAAATTGGATTCAAGTTCAAATAGAATAAATATCAAAAAATATATTTTTACTTTTAGTAAATCAGCAAAAAATACACCATTTATATAATTATCCGTTTTAATGAAAATTTCTCTGAACAAAGAATATGACAGATGAATTTTATTCAATATAGAATGAACTTCATCTTACCGAAGTGTACTTTGTCCAAGTGGATTATATTTAGTATTAAAACGATCAAATCGTTGAAATGTATTACGATCCTTAAGAGAAATAAAAAATAGAATCACTATTTTGCATATTTTTTCGTTGTTTACCGCATGTACACCAAGCATATCAACACTCAAATCATAAGCTGTTATATGTAACTCATCGAATACTTGTTTGAGAGTCATTATTCGTCCATCTTTTGTTTTATACACAGGCATGTCTGGTGATTTTTTCATTTTTTTCTTCATAAATCGTAATAAATGTTTTTGATTCATTGATGATGCAGCATGAACATGAGTATCAACCTATTTGAAATAGATGATAATAACAAATTTATAAATAAAAATATACTTACTTTTCGAACATTATAAAAATCACGATGTGGTGTTGATTTAATGGCAGCCCACTCTTTAACTTCATTTAACAGTCCATGTAGTTCATATTTTGCTTTTAGATATTGTAAGCGACGATAACAAAATGATTTGAGCGGTCCATCCATAATAATTGCTGATAGAAGTGTATAATCTTCAATAAATTGATCACGATCAACAATCGGAAAATCAGCACAGACCCATTGGTTTTTATCATCAAGAATATAGGGACGATAAATTCCATATTCTGGTTTAACACAAACATCAATTGGATCTAATATTGGAATGTTAAATGCCTCTTCTCGTTTAATAACCGGTGGATGATAGGGATGATCTTCGTAATAAAACAAAACAATGATAAAAACGTTATATATTGTTTTTATTGATGTTAGTATTCAAGTATTGAATCAAATTGCACAAGCTACTATATCATAGGTTATTAAAACCACATCACACATTAGTCAAATAAAAGCGCTTGTCCGTCTTGAAAACGAGCAGAGAAAGGGTGATCGGTTGGGTTCAAGAGAAAAAGTTAAATAAATATGCACATAATACCGGGAGATGGTTCAATATTAACATTTCTTATGCATTTTGGTGGAGTTGGACAAGTAGTTTGCGGTTGTTCAAACATAGAATCACTCGGACTACAGCTATTGCTATTTCTCTTTTTACGTTCTAAATGAACAAAAAAACGAAGAATAAAAAGGGTAAAAGAGCAACGGGCAAACACGAGTAATTATTTTTCATGCGTATTTCACTCGAGCAAGAGAGTTGAAGTAAAAACCAAAAGATCATAGATATTAGAGAGAGAAAGAGCATGACTATACGAAAATAGAGAGACCACACTAATAAATAATGATGTTAATAATGATAAATGATATTGCTAATTCAAACCGGCATTTAGTTTGATAACGGTGCTGGATACACGACGCGATTTATCTTCATTTTCTAGAGTTTTTGTTAAAAATTTGGCAACAATTGATGGAAATGATTGCAAACTAAATATCATATATTTTTCACGTATTACAAGTGCACGTAATAATGGACCAACCGCTTCATCTAAATCTTCAATGTGAGACTGAAAAATAGAGAGAAACAAATATTTAACATATGCCAATGTATATATACGTCACTCTCACCATATCGTGAAAATCTCCAGCTATTGTAATACGTTGAAATGTTTCAACTGATACAGATGATGCTGCCTTTTGAACATATTGTTGTTGATGTTGTTGTTGAACATGTTCAACTTGTGAATTTGGCTTTAAAGAATATTCAGCTGGTATAACACCGTTTTCGGGAACACCTTCAAAATTAGGTTCCAGGCCTTGTGTGGATGTCATACGATCTTGAGCAGCCCTCAACACGGGAACAAAGAACATTTTTGATGAACTAATTTTATAATTAATAATCTTTACCTGCTTTGTACAGCTCTATCTACTTCTTCTTGCAATGAACTGGCAATTTCCAGTGGCATTTCACTATCGAACGGATCATCAAGATCCGTTGTTCCTCGAACATGTCGTCGTCGTTTATTTAATTCAAGCGGAACTTCTTTAAACGATGGAATTACCTCGGGATGAAGAATATGATTTGGATATTGTTGTGGAGGCTGTTTTATCGCTGAAACAAATAAAATTTATATTTGTTGATTAAGAAGATTCATTTTAAGGAAAAACTAGCAACACAGTACTAATAAACATTGTTTTCTGATTGTTCGATATGATATCAAGAATTAAGCATTTTATATAAATTATTATTTTTTGTTACTAATAATAAGAGCCGCAGCATGCTACAATACATACTTATTCAAACAATATTGTTATTGTTCTGTTCAGCAACAAAATATTTATAATGTAGATCTGTGTGAAAACACAGATGTATAATTATCACTGTCAACATATTCGACTTATTCTGAACTACATCTTTTGATGACAACTTGATTGCTGAAGATTTTATAATAATTGATATACGATGAAAAAATATCTGTCTCAAATGTCTTGTACCGTACTAGTCGTAATGAATAAATGAGATGCATAAAATAGATAATTTTGGAAAAAAGCTTGTCCTATTTTGCTTTTATTTTAAAAAAATTTTGATTTCTTACTTGTTAGACGTGGACTGTCACCAGTTTGTGATGGTTCACTTGACTGTTGAATGAGAAGAACATTGCGTGAATCCACAATTGTTTGAGAATTCCATTCATCAATTACTCTTGCATCAGCAGTCGAATCATTTGATTTGACACTCATTAGTAGTTGAAGTTATATCAAATACACAGACAAAAAATATTGTGTTTCAAAAAAATTAAACAATGTGTGTGAGAGGTAAAAAATGTGATCCAAAGAAATATAGAGGGGTGAAAAAATGGAATGATAAATCTAAAATAGATTAGTGATGTACAAATATAGTGTGCAAGAAGTATATTTTCTTAAAAAAAATGATTATTAGTAAGTATCTAGTCATCTTACAATAAGAAGAAAGAACGATTAGTTTTTCAGCTAATTTAGAAATCTAAGTAGACATTCAGAAAGCATTATTTTATCGTGATTGTTACATACTGTGACAAATTCAATGATCATCATCGAAAAAAACTCTGATCTCAGATGATTATTTCAATTGAAAAAAAAAATTCCCTATTTATCTGTTATAGATAACAAATGAATAGAGAATTTTTTATTATTCAAAATGTGAAAGATTAGTAGTCACTCAATAACACAATAAATATAATAAAAAACTTGATCTTACAAATAAACAGTTACTATTAATATATGATAATAGATTCTGGTATATAATTCTACTGAAATAAAAGAACGAGTTTTAATGTACATAAAATGCTGGTGATTCGTACCATTCTTTTATGCATTATGACGTTTGAGTTGTTCGATGTTTGAGTGCAAAAAATATATACATTCCTTTAGAAAAATTACTCTTCCTTGTAAGATGCAGAATATGTATTACAGGTTCTCTTTCTCTTAGAAATGAATAGCAGATCAACAAGTTATGCATAAAAGAAAAGAAGAGATATTTTTTTTTTGGTTTGACTTCATTATGAAGCAAAAGAAGCACAACTTTGTTCCTTTATCATATCAGTTCAATAATTCAAATATCCATCAGAATATATTATAACGTGCAAATTCGAGCAAAATCAAGTTTTGCGATAGGACACAAATACTATATGTTCTGATATAAAACGATTTTTATAAATTCTTTAGAGGAAAAAGCAATGATTAATTTTATTTTGTCTGTCTACAGAAAGTATTAGTTTTGAAGTTGATCAATAATTAAGCATTCAGAAAGCTGGATAGAATAAAATGGAATAATGACTTCGAAAATTTTGTTTTTCTACGTTAATATCTTAGCTTTATGAACACAAAAATTAACTGACATCGATTCCAAAATCAATCATCAAAAGTACTGATATGCCTAGAAAAAAGTGCACTTTATTGTTGCTTTTCAAACTGCTTCCTGTCCAAATTTTAATACTCGCACAAGGTAATAGACTTTCTAAGAGATACAAGGACATATAATGACTTTTCAACAGATGACTGTTGTTATAACTGTTTATCCCCTTTAACGATTTATCCTCTCAGTTTTAGAAAAATGTGATAGAGTGACATGTCCTCTACAAAATAAGATCAGCCCTACGGCCTTTCACTGGGAGGTACAAACTTTTTGAAATTTGTCGCTTTACTCTAAAAAACCTTTTGAAAATATTTTTTTTTATTTTAGCACATGAAAGTTTTTTCAAATAGTCAGTCTTGTGGAGTGAAGAATTCTAAACAAAACGAGATATTCATGACAGCCTCAAAAGATGTGCAAAAGAGTTTTACATAGCTTCTGAAAATAACAGGTAATTGCTTCTTACACTTTACTAGTCAACTTCTGTTCGAAAGCTCAAATGAGAGGAGAAATAACCCTAAACAGATATGTAAACAACTGTTTCAATAGAACATAAATTTATTATTTTATATGCAGCTCACTAACAGTAAGGTTTTAAACAAAAACTCTGCTGTCTACCTACATTCTCAAATATCAGTTACTTTCTACAATACGAAAGAAAATCTGAAAGAGTTTGCTTACTAAACATGGAAAAAAAGTAGTATAAACTAAGTACAATTGTTCCGCTGTTTCATATTTCCAATAGGTTTATTGTTCAGTAAATTCTTTAGAAATAACATCACAAAAAATTAATGTTTTTTTCGAAAAAAAAAGTTAAAATAAGTAGATCAGTTTTTTTTTTAATTTCATTCTTTCAATAATTTATTTACGTTTAACACACCTGTTTGTCATAAAATAGATGAAAAAAAAACCAGCAATTTTCATGTGTTACATTTTTTTGTTTTTTCTTGTTTTACGTTTTTAATTTAAAATAAAGTAAAAGTAAAAGATCCTAAAAGCGAGAGACCAGCTATTTTCTTAACTACATTTTTAAAAAAACAAACAAACGAAAACTCGATATATTGTCACTTTTGAAAAATCTTCTTTCTATAGTAAGGCGAGCTAACAAATAAAATAAAAACAAAGCACGAAAAAAAGCTAACTTAGCTAAAAAAAAGACCGGAAGAAAAGCTGAATATACTACTAATAAATATTACACTAAATGTTTTAGATTTCGATGTATGATAGGATACATATGGTGGCCGGCGTATATTCACATATGTTGTCTTGCAGCAATTTGTTCATTTTGGTGTCTAAGTTGAAGACCAACATCTTGCCATACGTATGTTAAAGATTGAACCAGATAATCAATCATTGCTGATGTATGGTGTGGTGTTGGAGCTATACGTAAACGTTCAGTACCACGTGCAACTGTTGGATAATTGATTGATTGTATATATATTGAATATTTATCTAATAAACGATTACATAACTCTGTAGCTAATGCTGCATTTCCAACCTTAAAGAGGAAGAATTATAATGAAAATAACGAAAAAGAATCTAATAAAACATACATGTATCGGAATAATATGACTTGGAGCAATCATAACCGGTAAACCAGCATCAACTAATTTTGACCGTAATTCACGAGCATTTTCTTGTTGTTTCCGACGTAGATAACGGCCTTCATCACTCATTGAAATCTAAATGTCAAAAATGACAAATAGGTAATGATAGATAAAAAGTGCATTTAATTTTGACACAAACCTCAACGGCTGCGGTAGCACTGGCTAATACTGTTGGTGGTAGAGATGTTGTAAAGATAAAACCCGAACCATAACTTCTTATGAAATCTGTCATTTTCGTCGTACCCGCAATATAACCACCAATACTTCCAAAAGCTTTACCTGTAAGAAAGACGCAAAAAGACATTAAGATAAATATCAAAATTATTAATTTTTCTCTAAAATACCCAATGTGCCAGAGATAATATCCATTTTATGTAATATATGGTCACGTTCACCAACACCAGCCCCATTTTCACCATAAAGACCGACAGCATGTACTTCGTCAATAAATGTTATTGACCCATACTGATGAGCTACATCAATCATTGCTTCCAAATCACAAATGGAACCTGAAATAAAACTGGTATTTAAAAATAAAATATTTTAAAACTCTCTTGTTTACCATCCATGGAATGTACAGTTTCAAATGCAACTATTTTTGGTATATGTTGTGGTACTTTTTTTAATAAATATTCTAAATGTTCAATATCATTATGTCGAAAAATATGCTTCGGTACTTGACTATTTTTTATTCCTTGTATCATTGATGCATGATTACCACTATCGGAAAATATGTGACAACTAGGTAATAATTTGGCTAATGTAAATAATGTTGTATCATTTGCCACATAACATGATGTAAATAGCAGAGCAGCTTCTTTCTGGTGTAAACGTGCTAATAATTTTTCAAGATTGTCATGTAATGGAGTTGATCCAGATATATTTCGTGTACCGCCTGAGCCTGATCCAAACATATTAACAGCATCTCTAAATACAAAAAGAGTCAGTTAGCATCTTTTTGTCAAATCTGAATCTACTTACATAACAGCTCTTTTCAGTTTTGGGTGTTGTCCTAAACCTAAATAATCGTTGCTACACCAAATAGTAATCACTCTTGTATCATCATCACTTTTCTCTTCGGCTTGCGGAAATAGACCACTTCGTCGTTGAACACGTTTAAATATACGATAGGAGTTATCACGTTTTTTCTCATCAATTTTCGCAGTAAAAAATGTCTGATATTCAAATGGTTTTGGTTTTAATGCTTCAATTGTCATTGGTGTTTCTGTTTGTTAAAATCAAATTAAACTTTACTCAGTAATATTAAATAGTGAAATCTTACCAAGATTTTCATTAATTTCAATTGTATCTTCATTCAAAGAAATTCGTTTAAGTGTAATTGGTGTTTTTTTAAGAAATGGACATTGTAGATCCTGACATTCAGTTGAAATAATAACTAAAAAAAACCAATTATTTGACAGTCACTCGTGCATTTCAATCAATTATCCTCGCCGATAATATTCGGTTATAATTTGTTAAAATTTCTATCATTATAATGCGACATATCTCAGCCAATAGATCAGAACAAAATCGTCTTTACGCAGTTGTGTTCATAACAAAAATTGGAAAAAAATGAATGTATTTAACTTACTATCTCCATACGGATGTGAATACGGTTGTTTCGGGGTTACTGTTGCATGTTTCTCTGGTAGTTCACGTGTTGACCGCATCGCTAATGATTGTTTTTGTTCATTAATAATTCGTTTATGAACTGCCATGATTTCATCGTGGGTAAACGGCATTGATGGTATAATGGGTGTTGTTTCACTATGTTGTATACCAGAAGCAAAGCTACTTCGTCGCGCTAAAGTACTATAAAACGGACAACTTGTTGCACCAACGTTCAAAATATTTTGAGCAGAAGCTCGAACTTGTTGTAATGTAAATTGAGCTAAATATGGACATTTTAATGCTACCGTTGCCATTTTACACCAAAGATTGTAAAGATGTTAAGACTTATTTTATATGGTGTTCGGTTTTATCTGAAAACGAATACAAAAAAAAGAAACCATTTATTTTGAATAAGACTGTTTTTCGATTTAGACCATATGATATGTTAACTATCATTTTTTTAAGATTTAATATAGCGTTCTTAATCACAAAATAATTCTGGAAAAATATGCGTCTGAAAACAAAATTTTAAATTGATATTACATTCTAGTTAAAGCATAAATAAACAAAATTATTGGTTTACACATCTGTTATTATTCAAACAAAAAACAAGAAATGCTCTCTCTCTTTCTCTCTCTCTCTATTTATGCAAAAAAAAGGTGCGATCAGTCTCTTGAGAAAAAAAGACTAGACGCTGTTTCTAAAAGAGAGAAAAAAAGAAAAAATATTTGAAATGAGCTGATATCCATTTCGAAAATGTTACTCTGAGAGAAGACAGTAGAAAACATCGTTTGCAATGTTCGAATGCCATAAAAACACAAGTTTTTGATCTTATAAAATTTTGCAAAAAGAGTGCTAAAAGAGATTTAACGGTCAAATCCACCATCGCCAGAATAAAGAAGTTCATTCTCGACCTTATAAAAGAGTGTATGCTTACAAGTTGTTTCGCAAAGACTAAAATCAGTTCGACTCATGTACTTATGTATTGTCCATTCAAAAAAAGAATAATCCATCACTGTTTTTTTAATAACTGAAGAACGGAAGCACTTAGCGACCTGCGGTTTTCACCATTAGAAAGAGCGAAGCGTGGGACATAGGCCTATATAAAACACGATGAGTCTACTGGTAAAAATATGCGTTACTTACGGCTTTAAATTTTAGTGGAAACTGCAGTAAAATATACCTAGTCTTGAACGTTAACCTGGAAAGACAACTGATTCAAATGTCAGGTATACGTTGAATCATACGTCTTCTTTATTCAAACTCAGCAAGATAAAATCTTAAAGTTGTTCTGTTGAAAAAGAAGACCTTCAGCGATAAAAAGGAAGTTGGAGGTTTCGAAAAAAATGTTGATTATTTGATGGCTTTTGGAAAATTTACTCAAAAATTCCTGATATGTGTTTTGTATAATAGAATACAAAATACGTCCCACGGTTCGCTCTTTCTGATGGTGACAACCGCAGGTCGCTAGATGCTTCCGTTCTTGAGTTATTAAAAAAACAGTCATGGGTTATTCTTTTATTGAATGGATAATAGTTTACTCTAGCATTCTTTACTTTAAAATATGCACCACTATGTAAGAGTCGACTAAATACATTCACAATTTCTACTTCTCATATTCTATTCAATTTAACACAACTTGTCTAAATCATGTACATAAAAAGGACAATGCAGAAATCGAGCACGAAGTGTATATGCTTTTATTTGTATTAAAACCCTCACCTGTTAGTACAAATCAAGTGATTAAACTGCAATTCCCACTTCTTATCTGATAAATCACTCTATTAAGTTAAGAAAAGCCAGAAAAACACACTCTCGATGATAGACAGAAAATATGACATTGGAAAAGGTGTATCAATGATAGCACCAAGTCATAGACAAAGAAAAAGAAGTTTTATTTTTACACGGTACGTATTCAAAAAATATTTACCTGAAAATCTTGTTCTGCTGTTTCTTTCTTAAAGAATTAATAACTTTTACTTTTTTTTCTAACGCTTTCTTTAAATACAAAACCTACAGCTTATATCCTTATTTTTATCTTGAGTCATGCTCATAGAATTATTATTTTTATCATGGAATTTGACGTGTAAGCATTAAATAACAAATTAAAAAGAAAAAGCAGGTGAGCTAATCAATGTACTAGAATTATAAATTAAACCGTGAAAAATTTCTTAAGAATGTGAGATGATCAGTAAAGAAGATTTCAAAGGATAAAAATGAAAATATGAAATGGATTAGACTTCCAGGAAACACGCTTAGAATATAGTAAAGAATGATATTAAAAGATAATGAAGCATTATTAACATACGACGAAGAGTACATGCATTTCTCAAAATCTTTTTAATGAAAATAAAATGTCATTTACAAACAGATTCAAACGGACATTTCATTTTTAACACGAACATTCTTTTCATATTGAAAGTTCAAATTAATATTAGATTAGTCATAAGATTAAGAAAAAAGTTAAATGTCGGATGCTTCCTGCCATCATCGAGACATCTTTCAGTCGCTAGAAGTAACTAAAATTTCTGTTCTATTTGAATACTTTTAAGTAACTATTCTATAGCTCAATCTATCACTAAATGCTTTAAACAATCTCCTTTTGCCTATGTCACTATAATAAAAATAAATTGCTAGACATAAAGTCTACCAATCTTTTTTTATTTGAGTTGATACTTCGTTTTTAGATAATTCATTTCTTCTATTCTGATAAATCGGTCAGAATGATTGCACATAACTCTACAAGTGTTTTACGAAGACAGTTTAAATTCTAATTCGACAACAATTATTTTAAAATGTTATTTTAATATAATTAGTTATGTTTAGATACAAAATAGTGTCATGCTGAACCGTACAGATCATTTTTCAAATATATTCTGATCCATTTATCTTGAGTATGAAATAAGAAACCTAAAAATAGCATCGAAAATAGACCTTAGAATAGAAATACCACTATTGTATTTCTATTCGGCACGTAATTTAGAGAATAAACAATTCCAAAAATATCAACAATTAAGTAAACAAGTAGAAAATTATTCCGAAACTAAACAGCTATCTAGCATAAAAAACATTGTGTTAAAAATTTTTAAAATATGTAATTTAGAATGGCCCACGCTATCATGAATAGTTTTTTATGCATTGCACGTTAGAAAAACATTTTTACAGTATTCAATATGAAAGAGTTAAAGAGAAAGTTCAATCAGTTATAAAAAGTGTATGAAGTGTATTTTTAGAACTGTCTTTCTGTGTCCGGGATAAATGCAAAAACCACACTTGTTATATCCATGAGTTCGCAGTTAAACATTTTCTTATTTAGCCTTTTTTTTAAACGCTTTATCTAATGAGAGCATAAAAAACCGTTTTGATTTTGAATTCTTTGGGGGATTCTTAGTCATATATTTAGAGTAGGATCTGCAGATATGTTAGTTTTTGTAAAAATTGAAGAAAATCATCTTTAGTATAAAACTTTTTTGGAAATTTCAGGTATTTCAAGTTGTTTGCCCAAAAGCAAAGTAGTTTTTAGGTTTTCTAACAGATTCAATTCAAAGACATAGAATAAAAGAATTACTGAAAGTTACTTTAAAAATATTTAGAAATATAAGAACCATTACGTCAACGCTATTCTCGCACTTAAAGCCATTGTCAGAGCTAGAGAACGCTTCACAAAACAATTGATTCGGATTATCGTTGTTAATACGTACATATAATAGAAATCCGTATGTAGGTTTCTCATACATTAGGTAAAAACTCTCCGAACTGCATATTGCTAGCGCAACAATATAAGACGTAGCTCACGTTCACGTTCACGAAGGAAGGCCCCTAGCTGATATCCTCCGATTTCGATGATCTTTTGCCGATAGATACTATATGATGTCCTAGTCTTTACCTCCAAAGAATTTGGTTGTATAGCTCTTCTTTCAAAAGTTATGAATTTTTAAGATTGGCCACTGGAGATCCTAAGTCATCATTGTTTACTTTCCAAAACTCGTCTACATGTGTGCTGACCAGCCAAAATCTTTTTAAACACTTATTCATATAGAGAAAAGTGTTCCCTTCAAAATGAGACATTGCTGAACTCTGTACGATATCTCCATCAAAAGTCATAAGCATTTTTCTAAGAGCACCTAAAACTCTGCTTTTCTTTCATTCCTCTACATCGATTTTTGCCGTGAGGAAAATAAAAGGTTTCAGAGAAATGAAGAAAAACCTCGTTAACTTTTCGGAAATCCTTTATTTTCCTCAGAGACAAAAACGAAGATCGAAAATCGAGTTCTATTATGCCCTAGAAAAAAGTGTTGGCTACATTTCAAGACATTTCAAGATTTTTAGCACTTAAAATAGCGGAGAAATCTTGGAATTTCGCAGTACTACAAGGCAAAAATCGATGTAGAGGAATGAAAGAAAAGCAG